GGAATTGAACTCATGACCTCATGCTTGCCAGGCAGGAGCTGTGCCACTGAGCTAAATCCCCAGCCCTCTTCTTGATTTAGTTTGGACAACTAAATTGTGTCTAGGAATCTATCCATTTCTTTGATTTTCTATCTTATTAGAATATAGGTTCTCATAGTAGGTACTGATGATCTGGATTTTTGTAGGATCCATTGAGATTGCACCCTTTTCATTCTAAATGCTTAATTTGTGTTTTTTCTTTCCTCCTTTTGATGAGGTTGTCTAATGCTTTATCAGTTTTATTTGTTCTTTCAAACAATCAATTTTTCTCTTCATTGCTTCTTTGTGTTGTTTCCTTAGTCTCAATTACATTTATTTCTGCTCATATCTTAATAATTTCCTCCATTTTATGAGCTTTGCATTTGATTTGTTCATCTTGTACAATGATAATTTATTGCAGAAAAATGGTTATCTTTATAATTTCAAGAATTTTAATATCCATCTTTCTAAACTACTGCATTAGCTAACTTTTATTCAATAAATACCCGTTGCATTTTAATTAAGAATATATAATTAATCAAAGAAACAAAAGAGATAATGAGAATGTTCTATAAAATATTAACAACTAACCCCTATTTAATATAGATCAAAACAACACAAAAAGCCAACCAAGTACACCTTAGAAATGTATAAGAAAGACAAAATATAAGTAAAACTGGTAAATACTAGAAAATTGTTGGCATGAAATAACATTCAAATAAAATTATACTCAATTAAAATTCAAAGTGTCTTGATATATTAACTAGCATATAAATATAATACTGATACTGCGAATTGTAAAAGACCTCCAGTCATGAGGACTTGTGTAATGTGTCCCTATTACTTCCTGATTACCCCAAATTAGCCCAAACATATTCTGTTGCCAATAAACTAGACATGGGCCCAGAATGCAGTTATTGAAAAGCTATAGTCACAGCCACGTCAGTATGTCTCAGTACCCTGCTAGCAGAAATGCTGAGTAATGGCCCCTGTGTGAATCTCATTAGTGCACTTACTCAAACAGAAAATTAGCAGATTCCATTTACCGGAGTCATTACTATATCCTCATCCGACACCTTAATCAATGGCCATCTCCTTCTCTTCCTATGAAGTGGGCATGGCATCTCTTAAGTTAGAATTCCATTTCCTAGAATATGCTATGTCCTTTGTCATTACTGACCAACTTAAACATTTGGCATTGTAACCTGCAAAACCCCTTGGAAGGTGCATACATAAAGTGCTGAGAATTTACCAAGAGATGAGGTGTTTTCTGGGGTTGCAAATCAAATAACAGGTAACTGTTGGAAGGATAAAAAAGTCCAAACTGGAAATCATAAAAAAGTTGTACATTTTAGCTTTACATCTTGGAAAATACTGGGAGAACATTGTTAAGAGTCATTTGTGGAGGAATATATCATTTTAAAAATTCTCATTTTATACAAAATAGATAAATAGATGATTGATGATAGAAAGATAGATATTTTTGTTCACTCAGAATTTGTTAGTGAGAAGATGATGTGGAATGATTGCTCTTCACATCCATCCTTTGTCCCTCTGCACTTTTGGAATTGTTTGTAGAGGAGATGGAGCTGGTATGGATTAAACAGGACAAACTCTTCTTTAATTCTCCTCTAGATACAGAAATAGGAAGCATGTTTTTGTAACGTAGTCAACAACAGTGGATTAGTAGTGACTGTCTAACCTCCTGAGTGGAGAATTCTGAGGCTGTATGCAGGGTTAGTTGGTGAAAGGATGATGATTATTTAACTAGGTGCCTGACAATGGCAGTGAGCTCCTCTATGATTAGGTACTTTGCATGAGAGAATAGTAAACTAGCTGGGGAATGCAAGATTTGGGGTAAAATTTTGCCTGAATTTTAGCTTCACAACTTTTACTTATATTTTTCATATTTTGTTTAACAAATATTCATAATATTTTAAGCATAATCATAAAATTTAATTCCTTATCAATATTTCATGAGTGGCTACTGTGTATCAGTCACTGATTTAAGTGACAGTAATAAAATACCTAGCATAAAAAGACATGAATTCTGCTGTATAAGTGAGAAAAATATTAATCAAATGCCCACAAAAAGTAGACATTAAAATTGAGGGTAAGTATTCAGAAGGAGCACTACCAGATGTCATAAGTTTATACTGACATGATATAGCTGATGACTACTTACAAGACCTTGGACAAACTTCTTACCCTCTCTGAGTGTCTACATTTAAGGTTACTATGTCATTGGATTTGTAAAAATCAACTGGTAATAAACCCAATATCTGTAATGCATGCAAGTAGATAATTTATGTTATTAGAGCAATGAATGCACAATATATGGAATATGCACATATCCATTGAAATATCCTGTTTCATAATTTTATATGAATTATTATATTAGTTGTGGATCCATGTAAACATTTTATTTTTTTCTGTTGCACACATACACTCTATTCCTTACAATGTATGTCAGCAATATAAGTGGAAAAGGAGAACTGATACTGTTCAATTACCATGGCACTTTTACCAAGAAAAGGGAAGAATAATCAACACTGATAATCTCACAAAATAGCTAGTGGGAAAGAGTTTCCAACAGACTGTTGCAATTTACAGAAAAGTATGAAGAGGAGATATGCTCTGGCTCAGGTCTCTATCTTCTTGGGAGATGAAGGCTTTGTTCACCCATGAAATGATTAACACAAACCAGTAAGGCAGAGTAAACTAAAATGGGGCCCCTGGCAAAGAAGACTTGTTGGTCAGAAGGACATAATTGGAAAGAAGTTAAAAGCAGGGGCCAGGACAGGCCCTTCTTGAAACACTGGGGAAGGTTGGTCCACTTTGGAAGTAGATAACACGGGTTCTGATTCCAACTTTGCTAATAACCAACTGTGAACCTTGAGAAGATTACACATCTTTCTTACACATAAGTTTTCTGATATAAAACTGGGAAATATCAGCAAACATTATAGTACTTTACTGGATTAAATAAAATAATTTTAGTTCTTAGAACAGTCCTTGGAACATAGTACTATAAGTAAAAGCATTAACTATTACTATTTATGATATAACTATTATCATCAATACTATATTAACCATTTAGACTTGGTGGTACAGGCCTGTAACCCCAGCATTCTGGGAGACTGAGGAAGAAGGATCACAGCCTGGGAATTTAACAAGACCCTGCCACATTTAAAAAAAAAAAAAAAAAAAAGGCTGGGTGAGTACTGTAGCACAATAAAAAATCCCAGGGTTCAAATTCTAGTCCTAGAGAAATAATTGCAGAAAAACTAAAAAATTCTATCATTAAGAGTATTGTGCTTCTTTAGATGGAAGCACTACAGCAGGAATGTTATGGTTTAGAACTTGGGTGTGCTCCAGAAGCCCTAAGTGTTCAGAGATGGGTTCTGGGAAGGCAGGTTGCACAGATACTGCAGCTAACCTGTGGGATCTGGAAGTGTGCGACTCCTCCCTTCTCACTCTGCTTCCTGGCTGCTGTGAGGTGAGCAACTTTGCCCTACCGGTTCCTTCCACCATGCCATTTATGCCTTGGGGTCAGCTGACCATGGGCTGAAAATAGAACCCAAATTAAATCTCTCCTCCTGAGGGAGCTGCGGGTGGGGAGCGCCAGCCTTCTGGCTGGCTAGCTTCCTGCCTGCTGGCTCCCGGAGGGTGGGCCCCCAATGCATGGGGAGCCTCAGGCGGGGAGCGCCGGTCTTCAGACTGGCGACTCACTCCCGGCCTTGTGGTTCCCCGGAAGGAGGGCTTCCGGCACACAGGGAGCTGCGGATGGGGAGCACCAGCCTTCTGGCTGGCTAGCTTCCTGCCTGCTGTCTCCCAGAGGGTGGGCCCCCAGTGCATGGGGAGCTATGCAGCGGCGAGCACTATTGCTCGCCGGTCCTTAGGCCGGCCGTCGCCCCTCAATTGGGATCTATCATGACACAGAGAAACAGTGACACAATTGGCCCACCATGACGGACTGCAATTGCCCACCCACAGATGTGTGTGAATCATTGAAACTTTGAACAACCCCTGGGAATATATGCCATACAACAAGCCACTCTTGCTCCTGCCATTGGGAGCCAGAAAGGTCCAGAGCCAGCAGAGGAGCAGCTGCTGAACAAGGACTCAGAGAACATGAGAATGCAGACTAAGACCACGGAGTCAGAGGTCCTGTGGACTGGGGTCCCCAGAGCCGCTCGGAAGCTGTAAACCAGGAGGACCTTGCACAATACCTGCAGAGACTCATTGGAAGCCATTCTTCCCCTGACAGTACAGGCTGTGGTGAAGCTCTGGAGAAGTCTGCAGCAGGATTCCTGCTGCCTGTGCTGACAGCTGGGGAGAGGACACTAACTGGTTGTGGGGTCCCAAAGCAATGGGAAGCTGGAGAGAAAAAGCTACAAAGAATGGCTTTCACCCCAGATAGCTCACTTGAGATGTTAGTAAGAATTGCCTCCTCAGTATTCTATAGCCATGATGAGGAGGAGGCCAAGGAGAGAAAACAAAGAGACTGAGAAAAAGCAGCTGCTTTTGCTGCACCACTAAGAGAAACAGATCCCAGGTCTGATTCCCGGGGCTCCAAGAAGAACTCGACTACTGCATTCATCTGCTACCACTGTTAAAAGCCAGGCCACCTCAAGAGGAACTGCCCTAAGAGGCCCCATGGGCCATGCCCTGGATGCAAAGGAGACCACTGGAGATCGGTCTGCCCTCTGAGGTGGAGGCCCCAGAGCTCAGACCCATGCTACCAGTTAGTCCAACAGGAATGAGAGGGCTTGGGGTATGGTCTGCCTTCTCCCTCTGGCCAGACCATCATCTCCATCGAGGAGTCCTGGGTAATCATGACTATGGAGGAACAAGAAAACAGCCTGTTGCTAGTCACAGGTGCAAGTCTCTCGGTCCTTCTTTTCAATCCTGGCCTTCCTTCCAGCCATCATACCTCAGTGAAAGGAGTCACTGGTAAGGAGGGGCTGTACCAGCTCGCTATGGATATCATAATGATGCTCCGGGTGTGTAAAATGTTCCGCCAAGGCCTCAGGGGATTCCGCGAGTATCAAATCATTGAACCTGTTTACAGAAGAAACCCTATCTTCTCCTTCTGGGATAAAAGGAAGCAAGGCCGAATTACGTTTGATACCATGGACTTCATTGCAGAGAAGGGTCACTTCCCTCCAGAAGCCATTAAGATCGTGCAGAAGCAACCTTCCTGGAGGGAGGAACACGAGATCCAAGTCCTGTGCAACATCCTGCAGTCTCTGGACAGCTTTCGAACCTACTCAGAGTCTCTGCAGGTGCTCCTGGCCAAGGTCATGCGCTTTGAACGGGGCATGGATCTATTTCAGTCATGGTCTGATGAGAGGCTCCAGCAGCTGGTAACCCTGGGCAAGATAGAGAAATTCTCATATGGGCAGCTGATCACAAAAGACTTGGTAGAGTCATCATGCATCATGTTTATCTGCAAGATGAAGAACATTTCTAGCACTCCAGAAGAGTTCTTTTGGCCCGATGATATTCCCCTACAAAGGGCAGCTGTGAAGTGCTGCGGCTGATAGACCTTGGGAGCTCCCCTTACTATTACAAGTGGGTCTGGCAGCATCTGGAGCTGATAGATGACAAACCTCTGAGCGCTCATGTCAACGAACCAGATCCTATGGTGAGATTTCAGGAATTCCAGATCAAATCATATCCTGTACAGGACTTCAGCTCTCTAAAACTTCTGCGTCTCCAGGAAGCCAGGAAGCAACAAGGGATAAGCTTCAGTGAACCAACAAAACCCTCAGAAAATAGTCTCCCCAGGATGCTGGGCCCAAAGATCAAATCCAAGTGTACCCATTCAATCAAGTGTTCCATGCTCAAAACCAAGTTTGATGAGCTCCCCAAGGAGGCAGCAGTGGGGGCCTACATGAAAATCCACACTGTGGAGCAAGCAGAAATTGTGGGCTTTCACCAGGCCTTCCTCCCAGAGAACCAACGTGACACGTGGCCCTTTATTCTAGTGAGCCTGGGAGCTGAGTTGATCGAGTTAAGGAGAGAAAAATTTCTTGAATTGATTGATGATGAGACAAGAAAAAAATTGACAACAATGCATGTTGAATACCCCAGCGATGAAGAAATGTGCCAGAGGTTCCTTAAGAAGAACAGCTGGAATATCTTTCGGAAGGACCTGGTTCGGCTGTTGGTAGAACCTCGCCAAGAGGCCCCGTTCGTCCCAGTCCAGCCACAGAAGAAAAGGATCTACAACCCTAAATCTTTGGTCCTGGATCTGTATAGCATCAACAAGAAGGTTAAACCACGTTATCCCATTTTTATGGCACCCCAGAAATACCTCCCCCCATTTAGGATTGTCCAAGCCATCTCAGCACCCCAGCACAAGATCCAGTAACTCCTGCCTAAGTATAAGAATGTGGGGTTCCTTCTTTAGAACCAATAAAGGATATTGGATTGTCAAAAAAAAAAATCTCTCCTCCTTTGTCAGGATAGAGTATTGCATCTCAGCAACAAAGAAAGTGACTCATGGGCAATAGAGATTGTTCTGTAGTAAGAAATCTAACCCACTTCCATCTGTAAATGCTAGTCACCAATTAAAATCAAGATAACTCATGGATGTCTTCAGTTCTAAGCATTAGCATACCTGCTGGCTTAATTAATGTAACTACAGCTTAGTTCACGAAGGCATTTCATTATCTTACATACAATAAGGCTAGTGGTGAGAGGTTACAGACTTTTTGCAAGAGTACAACATCTCATCAAATGCCATCACTCTGATGATCCTTCTGCTCTCCATCCTTAGCTTGTGGGCTTTTTTCCTCATGATCACAAGATGGCTGCTAGGGCTACAAATGTCTTATCTCTCAAAGGGGAATGGGATTTTTGCTTCTGAGAGAAAACAGGTTGTCGTTACCTAGAATTCTGTCATAAGAGGAAGAAGGAAAGACGGCTGCCAGGCGGGCAGCTAACAATACCTAACAGTCTTCCTGATTTAAAAATGTCCTGAGTTGTATTTTTGAAGGCAAATGAAATAGCTACCTGTAGCAAGTTGAAAATATATGTAATATTTAGATACAAAGATCACAAGGGATACGGATGAAAAAAGAAGAGCTGTCAGTGCTTTGGGCAAGTTTTCACAGTGAATTTTAAGTGTAATTGTGTGCATAAAACATAAATTTATTTTCAGAAATGCAAATGAAGCACCTGGATAACTGAAAATAATATAGCTGGGCTGCTTATATTATCACTCCCAATCATATGTATTATTGGAGTTATCAAGAGGTTTTCACTGCTATTTAAACCCAGCTTTTTCTAACTCTGAAAAACAGTTCTCCATTCCCTAACTCTTTAAAAAGCAGCAAATCTCTGGGAAGAGTTGACTCCACTCTGCACACACTTTGCCTCTCTTGCTGTCTCTTAAATGCTCACTACAGAGAAGGCTTTCCTCTCCATTTCTTCCTCCACGGAGTCTCTGCCAGCATCACCAACTACCTCCACCCCGACACACCAGGAGCACAGAGGTCACTCTGTCTGACACAAGCATCGCACCCACGCTGAAACACTTTGTCCTAGCATGCTGGCTCTTCCCACCGTCCCTCCTCTACCAAATCCGCTAAACTTCCTCAGCTCTGAATGCTGAAGAGCCCTTGGGAGTCCTGGGAAGATCAGTCCTTCAGACCACTTCTGTTCAACTGTACACCCCCAGAGATGGGGGGAGTCCAGGCCTGTTGCTTTCAATACCATCTCCAGTGTCAAACACTCCCCAAATCAAACCTCCACTCTAGACCTTTCACGTGAACTCCCGAGTCCTATCTGCCCAACATGTATCTCAAATTTAGCTGCCCCAAACTCTACTGCTGACTGCTGACCTCCCCTGCCCTAGAACTATCCTCGCTCTTTACACTGGTGCTCTCTACCTCAATATTTCTTCACCCATTTGCTGAGGTCCTAAACCCTGATATCATCCTTCACTTGTTCCTTTTCTTCTCTATCACCTCTCAGCAACTTAGCAACTGGCAATTTCTGTAGATCCAGCGTTCAAGACACAGCTTGGCTGTGACCACCTCTTCTCATCTTTCTCCTACCACCCCCTGCAAACTGTCAGTACCTTGCCTTTGTCTGACTGTTATAATTGGTCTCCCCACCTGCACCCCTTCTCCTCAGTCTGTCCTCCATGTAAGAGTGAAACAGTCTTTCTAAGTCAGATCATGTCACTCTTTGGCTACAGATTTCCAACAGCTTCTGATGTTCCTTCAAATCCTAGTCACCACAGCCACCTCTACCGCCCTGTGGGACACACCGCTCCCTGTCCCCATCTCCTCTCCACCCTTTATCTTGCTCACTGCATCCCCATTGCTATGCCTCCCTCACCCTTCCAGAACATTCTAAGCATGTTCCTGTTCCTCTGGCTGGTATATTCTTCTCTCAGAGAAGTAAAAGGTCATTTCTCTTTTCCTTTGAGATTCTCTTCAAATATCTCCCATCAGAGAGGTCTTCCCTAACTGCCTGTCTGAAATACTGCTTCTCAGGCTTGGCCCTCTTTATTTTGCTTGCCTTTTCTCTGTGGCTCTTATAATCAACTGACTTGTATGTACACTTGGTTAATGTCTGTGCCCTTCCATTGAAATGTTCACAGCATACAGTCTGGGATATCTGCTGTTTGTTGCTTGTCTTGGCTACTTTTCTTTCATTGCTGAGACAAAATAGCTGACACCCAAAGTTAAAAGAGCAGAGATTTATTTACGTTGCGGTTTGTGGAGGTTTCAGTTCATAATCAGCTGGCTCCAAGGCAAGGTGGATGGCAGAGGCGCAAGTGTTCATGGCAACAGGAGACAGCAAAAGCAACAAAAGCAAATAGGGCAGATCAAGCCTCTTTTTCTCCCTTACACTGTATGCAGGCTACCCGCCCTAGGGCAGGTATAGTACTCACACTCCTAATCCCAGCAATAAACAAGACCCAATCACATACTCTAGATTCAGCTACCTCTGAAAAGGCCGCCCCACTTAACTACATGAGGCTTTAGGAGGACATCCAGACATAAAGCATAACTTGGCCACACCAGAACAAGGAGCAGTGCTTGGCTCCCAGTGAGTGTTATTAGTCCACATGGGTTTGAATGAGTGAATCCATAAATGTATATTTATTGATGAATCACTTTGTTTTTTCATTGCTTTTCAAGCCTTGAATAATTTTTGAAACTATTCTATGATAAATTAATATTTTCAATAGGTTCCTTTCTTTCAAGCAGGTAACAAAAAACATTTCATTATATAAATCCATTCATGTATAAAACTTACCTTGTAAATCCATTACTTCTTTGCATTATATGTTTTACCAACATTATGTTTTATGCATTAATGTATTCTACAAACTGAATTGCTAACATATTTTGTGTAAAAAATATCATAATGAAACTACAGTCCTTCGTGTTAGATTAGCTTTGCTATTTTGGAACTATTTTCTTTTTTTCTTTTTGTTACAGGGTCTCCCTGTGTAATTCAGGTTGGCCTTGAGCTCACTTTGTAGCCCAGGCTGGACTTAAACTCACAACAGTTCTCCTGCCTCAGCCTCCTGAGTGCTGGGATTACAGGCATGCACCACCATGCTTGGTTTGGAACTATTTTCTTATACTTGAATATTTTAATAATCCAACTTAAAATCATCCCAAGATCAAATGCTATGATTTTTCTGAATATGCCAATTAACACCTTGAAAATGCAAGACATTTCATATTTCTGCTAGGGTTGACACTATTATATAATTTGTTCCTTTCTATGTAAAATATTTTGATGAACTTGTTTTAGCACATTCTCATTAAAATTATAGCCCTTATACAAATGATAACAGTTTTGAAACATGTACATATAAACAAACACAGCAATGTCTAAATATATTCATGAAGAGATCTCTTTAGAAAATAATGAAAAATGATTTCAGACAGAGCTTTGTTTTCTAGTTATTATGAAAGAGAACTTTTAAAACTAACTTGGAATATTTTCTGAATATCTCATTCCTTTGATATGCATGTTCTTATTTATCTCTGCTTTCCAATGAAAAGGTTCTCTTTGATCATAACTAGGTGAATTCAAAGAGTTCTATGAAATGTCCATATTTCTATTTATGTGATGCAGTTTTCATATGTTGTACTTCTTTCTTTCTTTCTTTCTTTCTTTCTTTCTTTCTTTCTTTCTTTCTTTTCCTTCTTTCTTTCTCTACTCTCTTCTTCTATTTTCACTTAATCAAACAACTTCCAAATTCCTGCTACTGGTCTGGATTTACTGATCATCTTCTTTACTGACTGTCTTTTCTCATCTCTCATTATTGCTTAGAAATAGTATGAGAATGGTGTTTTATTTTTTCTGACCTTTGTCATTTTTCTTATTTTGTCTTAAGGTGATTTAACATAATCATACTTCAACTATTATCCACACAGTAAATAATCACAATTTGGATCTCAATATCTGTTTTCATCTTGGTCAACAATGAGATTATAATCTTAAATCCAATATCACTGAAAAAAGTGAAGGACGTTATTTGTCCCTGTAAATCTTCTCTACTTTTATTTTTCCAATCTGTGTTAGCTATTCACTTGTTACATAATTCTCTAAATTATAAATTTAGTATACTTTCCCCCTTTGTTTTTAAAATTATCAGCTTAAATAGTTATGAAAAACTGTTTATAAATAACAAAGTTTTCTTTCAAATTGATCAAGTTTAATTCAAAGTTAATTCTAAGTTGTTGGGCTCAAGTTAGAGCATAAAATTATTTTGAAGACCATAACTGAAAATAAAATATTCAATTACAGGGGGAAATCAAATTTAAATTACTACCTTATCAAGGTACATTAGGCTGAAATAAAAGTTTGAAATATTATTGAATATTTTTTCTTAGCTCTAAAGTCTATTGTTATGGTTTAGATCTAGAATATTCCAATCCCAATGCCCATGTGTTTGGAAGGTGATTGGGTCATAGGGGTGCTATACTCATCTGTACATTTACTCACTAAGGAGTTCACCAGCTGAATGCATCATTAGGCGGTAGAGCCCAGTTAGAGGTGTGTCTCTGGGGGCGTGAACTGGAAGAGTGTATCTCCTTCCCTGGTTCTTCCCTTCTCTGTCTCTGTCTTTGCTTCTGACTGCTATGATATGGGCAGTTTTCCACCTCCAGAACCTTTTACCGTGGGGAGCCAGCTGACCGTGGACTGAATCCTGTGAAACTGTCAACCAAAATAAACCTCTCTTCCTATAAGTTACAGATGTTGAATATCCTATCTCAGTGATGTGCAAATGACTAAGATATCTATACTTTCCTTTCATCTTGTTAACTAAGACTTGTTTTTATATAAATATTTTGGCTTTAAACTATGTTTGCAGTACCTGATGTTTACATTCCGTGTGTGGAGTTGGCACATGTACATAATACAGCTTAATTCTTTTTTTATCCATTTGCCCTTTCCTCGCTAACCTCT